AGTTGGAGGTTGCTGTGAGCTGTAATGCCACGGCACACTACCCAGGGGGACAGCTTGAGGCTCTGTCTCAGAAAAATAAAAAGAGAGACACCGATACACAAGGACAGACTGAAAGACACGGTGGTACAGAGACAGAGAGGGACAGGCAGACACTGAGCCTGCGATGGACTGCAAGACACAGAGAGACACACACAGAGGGAGAGAGCAGGGCACAGAGACTCAGAGTGTCCCAGAGGACAAGACAGACAGACACAGATGCAAAGAACACAGGAAATGGGTGAGCACGGACTGAGGAGTGTGGCCAGTGCTTGCAAGGGTGAAACATATGGAACAAATGACAGATGGACAGAAGAGTGGATGGCCATGGGCACCAAAGGCAGCAGGACAGGGACCAAGCTGCAGGTCAGGAGAAGGAAGGACAGTTCTGCTCTTCCCTTGCTGAGAGTCTAGTCATCCCCACTGCCCAGTTGAGGCTCCTGGCTTGAGGCAGAGGAGGACAGGCTTGGAGGGCAGCCAGATGTGCTCAGGGCCACCCGTGTGCCCAGCTCTGACCCTTGGGTGTCACCAGTCCAGAGGTGAGTAGCACCTGAGGAGACCACTGCACACACACCCAGCAAGTCGAAGGCAGCGCCTTGTGCTCCGGGTTATTAAGCAACTTGCTCAAGGCCAAATGAACTATCAGAGGCATCCTACCTGCTAAAGACACCACGATTTGGCACTTCAGAACCCCATGCCCCAGCCCAGGATTCCTCAGGAGTCCCTCTGGGCCTCTGGTTGGGTTTCTCTTTCAGTCATTGCCGGACAGGCGAGGTGGCAGCACAGACAGCTGAGTGGACCACACTGCTGCCACCCTGTGGGTAAGAAGGGCAGCGCATGCCTTGCCTCCTGTGGTGGAACTGGGACAGAAGCCAAGGTCACCACCTCCCAGGTCTGTGCGCACACTTGTTCAGATGTGCACAATGAGTTGCCACATTTCCGTCCCATGGTGACAGGCAAAAAGACAGAGGTGAAGCTGGATTGAGCCCAGACCCCAAAGGCAGTGTGAGCTCACCAGGACTCCTTGTTTTGTATGGGTTTCCCTCTCTCCCTGGAGGGGTCACCTGCTCTACTCTATGCTTCCTTCCTCCTCTGCGGGAGGTGCTGGCAACCGGTGACCTCTGGCCACAAACCAGCTTGGAACCTCTCCGGTCCATTTTTCCAGCCCCAAACAAGGAGGCTGTCAACCCGAGGACCCTTGGTGGCTGCACCTGAGTGGAAGGAGGATCTGCCCACCCCACCCCCACTCCACCCCGGTCAATTTGCATATTCTCAAAACCTCATCCACCATCCAGCTGTGAATTAGAAGATAAGCTTTAAAAAACTGGATAGTTGGCTCGGCGCCTGTGGCTTAACCGGCTAAGGCGCCAGCCACGTACACCTAAGGCGGCGGGTTCGAATCCCCAGCCTGGACCCGCCAAACAACAATGACGGCTGCAACCAAAAAATAGCCGGGCGTTGTGGTGGGCGCCTGTGGTCCCAGCTACTTGGGAGGCGGAGGCAGGAGACTCGCTTGAGCCCAGGAGTTGGAGGTTGCTGTGAGCGTGATGCCATGGCACTCTACCCAGGGGGATAGCTTGAGGCTCCGTCTCAAAAAAAAAAAAACAAAAAAAAAACTGGATAGTTCACGTCCAGTTGTATAAATTGGGGGGTACTTAGGTTTTTTGGTTTCTCTCTCTTTTTTTTAATTTAATTTTTTTTTTTTTTGGCCCAGGCAGGGGTTTGAACTTGCCACCTCTGGTATATGGGGCCAGCACCCACTCCTTGAGTCACAGGTGCCACCCTTCTCTCTCTCTCTCTTTTTTAAATAACTCAATGGTTTTTGGTATAAGTTTTTAAAATTGTAATAAAACATGCATGGTTTAACATAAGATTCAACGCTCAAATCACTTTAAAGTATGCATTCAGTGGCATTAATTACAATGTTGTGCAACCATCGCCACTATTTCTAAAACGTGTTCATCACCCCAAATAGGGTTTTTCAGTTCACAGCTGGGTGACTGTTTTACGCACATTAGGTATAGAAACAAGATACCTAGATAGCAATGCAAGAAGCTCTAACTCTAAACAATTCTGGGGGCCATAATCCCAGCACTTTGGGAGGCCAAGGTGGGAAAATCACTTGAAGCCAGGAGGTTAAGCCTTGCTTAAATATTCAGAACCCTCTCTATAAAAAATAGAAAAATTGGCTCGGCACCTGTGGCTCAAGTGGCTAAGGCGCCATCCACCTACACCTAAGGTGGCGGGTTCAAATCCAGCCCGGGCCTGCCAAACAACAATGATGGCTGCAACCAAAAAAAAAAAAAAAAATAGCCGGGCATTGTGGTGGGCGTCTGTGGTCCCAGCTACTTGGGAGGCTGAGGCAGGAGACTCGCTTGAGCCCAGGAGTTGGAGGTTGCTATGAGCTGTGATGCCACGGCACTCTATCCAGGGGGACAGCTTGAGGTTCTGTCTCAAAAAATATATATACATATAGAAAAATTAGCCAAGGATGGTGGCTCACACCTCTAGTCCCAGCTACTCAGGAGGCTGAGGCAGGAGGATGGCTTGAGCCCAGGAGTTGGAAGCTGCAGTGAGCTATATTCATCCCACTGTGCACCAGCCTGAGCAACAAAGACAGATCCTATCTGTAAAAAAAAAATCCCAAACAATTCTACGGCTGAGAACCTACCAGGGTCATCCATGCCTTAAAGCCTGATGAAAGCTGTTAGTTTTCTTGAGAAAAGAAATTGTACCTCATGAACTCATTACCCAGAGGAATCTAGAATATTCTCCCATCTTTCTGCCTCCCTCCACCTAAGTAATTGCTATCTTTTTTTTTTTTTTGTCATATATGTGTATTTAGAAAGCATTTAGTTTTACATATGAAGAAAGCACCATGGGGTAAGCACTTGGGGCTTACTCCCCACCTCTTGACGTTGTTATGATCCACCTGGTGTTGTGCAGGACATTCCTTTATCCTGCACACTATAGCCTGGTACCTGAATAGGTTCCTCTCCACTACTATCAAATGAACATCAGATTGGTTTTATGTTTTTGCTGCTGTGAATATTATTTCTCTTGGGCACATAGCTGGGAGGGCAACCCCTGGATTGTAGGGTATGGAACATTCAGTTACCACGTTCATTCCCAAAGTGGCCGTACGGGTTTAACCCTCACCTGTTATATGTCAGAGGCCCATGAACGTTCCAGCAATAGGCTTGACAGACTCTTTGCTGTTTCAATAGATGTAAAACAGTATTTTATTCCCTTGAAGGCTTAATTTACAATTCCTTGATCACTAATGAGGCCAGGCATTGTTTTTTTGGCCATATTTCATCTTTTATAAAATACCTAAAATACTGCTTAGATTTCTACTGCATTGCTTTCTTCTTACTGATTTGTAGGAACTCTACATATATCCTTGATCTTTTTTCAGTTTATAACTTAATTTTTCATTGTATGCTTTTATCTGATGAGCATATTCTTTTTTTTTTGAGACAGAGTCTCACTATAATGCCCTCAGTAGAATGCTATAGCGTCACAGCTCACAGCAACTTCCAACTCTTGGGTTTAAGTGATTCTCTTGCCTCAGCCTCCCAAGTAGCTGGGACTACAGGCGCCCCCCACAACGCTTGCCTATTTTTTGGTTGCAGTTGTTGTTGTTTAGTTGGCCTGAGCTGGGTTTGAACTCATCAGCCTCAGTGTAAGTGGCTGGCACTGTAACCACTAAGCTACAGGCAACAAGCTGTGATGAGCATATTCTTAAATTCAGTCGAGTGCGATGTATATGAGGGAAACTGCCACGAATTCTGAGGAATCTTGATGCTGTTTATAAAATTTCTGATCACTCCTTCTCCCAGTCTCATTGAGGCCAAGCTAGCTTGTTTAACTCCGCCTCCTACGGTGGAGGAAGAAACAAGTACACAAGTACGGGAAACAAATTCTCTCCAGAGCTCAAACTAAAAAGTCCGCCCCTGGGAAAACCACGTGCTTTTGTCTGTGTAACATTTTACAGAATTAGAGAGTAGTTCCAGATAAAGAAGGAGGCTAGAGGAGGAAGGAGGAAGGAGGCTATAACAGGTGCAATCTGTTATAATTAAGTACCTAGGCTCGGCGCCTATAGCTCAACCGGCTAAGGCGCCAGCCACGTACACCTAAGGTGGCGGGTTCGAATCCCCAGCCCGGACCCGCCAAACAAC